AATCGCACGAAATAACAAAAAATATTTCTCGCGAATTTTATTAATAATAGTAACATTGAATTTGTTTAGTATTTCAAATTTGTTGACCAAAAAAAGTTCTCGTCTTTTGAAACCAAGAACGTATTCAGCCAAATTTTTAATTCCCCCTACTAAAGTGAAGCGCATTCCGGTAAGAGCGTTCTGCATCGATCGAAACAAGTGATAGTCGGATGGCGCCAAATTTGAACTATAAGGCGGGGGTGAGGTAGAATTTCCCATCCACTATTATCCAAGTAATTTTTGTACCGAAGCAGCAACATGTGGCCGAGTGTTGTCGTGGTTTTTCCGCCAATGTCCGCTTCAAACGAATTAGTTGGGTTCGATACAATGATCCTTTGATGGTTTGACCACTCGAAAGCAGTTCGTAGTATATAACAACCCTTCCGATCCCACCATATGCAGAGTATGACCTTATTCATGTAAATATTTCGCTTCGGCGTCGATTTGGCCGGTTCGCCAGGCTTCTGCATATGTTTTTTTGCGCTTAGGATTATCATAATAGATCCACTTTTCGTCACCAGTGACAATACGATGCAGAAAGGACTTTTTTTTTTTGATGCCGTTGCAGCAACATTTCTGACATGCAAAATCGCCCGTTCGACATCTCTCGGCTTCAACTCGTACAGCACCCCCAATTTCCAACTTTTTGGATGAATCCCAAAGCTTTCAGGCGCAGGAAAAAATGGCTTGTTGTGTGACGCCCAATGATGCAGCAAGCTCTTCTTGAATTTAACACGGATCCTCATCCTGCAAAGCCTCCAATTCCTCGTCTTCAAAATTTGTCGGCCTTTCGGAGCACTCCTTGTCTTCAACGTCAAAATCACTATTTTTGAACCTTTTGAACACCACTCACGACAAGTCGATTCACCAATACATTCCGTCCCGTAAATTTCCAGAAACAAACGATAGGCCTCAGCTGCACCTTTTTTTCATATTAAATAATAGAAGCAACGCGCGTCCCGTAAATGACACTTATTTGGCACATAACTTGCCATGTTTTTGCTTCGTCAAATATACGACGCCGATAGAAATGCGCAAATATGATGATGCAGTGTTGTTAACAGATACACAAGCTTCGAAAATGACACATGAGGTGTAACACATTTTCTGCCCGGAATCTACTCGTGACACCATCTATTTAAAAAACGCTGGAAATTTACTTGTAGGCTCATATATGTAGGATTCGTGAAAAAAATTGGGACCGCTGGACTGATTGGACCGAGACTCGAACCACGGATGTGGTATATGTCGTATTATTTTGCATTATGATATTTTAAAAAAATTATTTAAAAATTTTTTATTTACCCTATATACATATATATATGTAATGTAAGTAAATATGTATAAAATCAACATATATTCAGTATGTCCAGTGTTTTACGGCTAAGAAATCTTAACTTTATAGGATATGTGCTTTACCGGTGCGTCCGTATAAACTTGAAAGCTTGCGAAAAGTTTTCGGAGAGAAACGTTTCCAAGTCTCGGAAAAGTTCGACTATTAAACTACTTGTACTTTCTTCTTACATTAGAAGAAGGAGGAAGGGCCCGTGCTGGTTTTAAACCTGGCAAATCTTTCTGGTGCCTATCGTTCCACGTTTCTCATTCAACAATGTGTGCGAAAGTTTATTTTCATTTTCACAATGAAATAGAATTTATCTTTTAATTAAATTTTCTATTTTATAAGAAAAAAATAAAAGAAAAAATAAAATAAATTATCGTCAATTGTTAATGCACACGATAAAATGTTGAATACAATTATTTGCGATTTATCATTTTTTTTTTTATGATCTCATCTCATTATGAAATATGGCCAAAAGAATTTATTTCTATTAATTATTTTATCACAATCGTATTTTCGAATGTTTAAAAACTAACGTCGTTATGATTTACCAATAATTATATTTGTGCTAAGAAATGCCAAAAATATAGGAATTTTGCACAATGTAAGCTTAACACAAATAATTGGATCAAGTAATGAGAAGAATATAATTCGTTATAAACGTTTGTTTTGAACAAATTCAAGACTTAAACTATCGTTAAGTAACGATATAATGTTTACATTTTTTGAAAATATATATATATATATATATATATATATATATATATATATATATATATATATATA